ATTTCTATGCTCGCACCCTTGTTTCGACTTTATAAGACAAAAGTAATGAAAAGCACCAGTACTCGTTCAAAAGAAGAATTTATCTTGATTTTCTTAAAAAAAAAAAAAAAAAAAAAAAAAAAAAAAAAAAAAAAAAAAAAAGAAAAAAAAAAAAAGAAAAGTCTTTAGAATTTTCTATCGTCGAATGAAACGACGTGGCGTTTAATAAACACCTCAATGTAGTCGCTTTTAATTAATTTTTCAAACCGTACCAACATGAATAGTTAAACTGGGGCAAGCTTAGCCTGGAAAAGTTGTAGTATGTCGTTAGACGATACTGTATTTAAAAAAAGAAACAAAACAACGAATTCCTTTTCAAAAAGAATTAAACGAATTTGAGATTCGTTAAAGGATTTAAAACAAAAATCGTTGCAATTATTACAATTTTGCGATTAAAAGAGCATATTTCATTTTTATCATGTATCACGATAATGATGATATTGCTATTATGTTTTACGGAGACCGAATGAAAGGAATCGTTAAAAGGCTGAAACTCGAAGTCGTCGACAGAAAGTCAAAGTTTAACGAATCCGTGGCTAGTTATTTCTCGTTCGTGTACGAATGGAAAAGTACATGTAAAGAGGCACGAGAAGAAGCAGGATATAGCAGCTACCACATCGGCTCCCACGAGTCGCACGCTTCGTTAGTATAAATCGCATAGACTTTTGACCAGCCCTGATCTTTCTCGCTCGACCTCAAGACACAACCCTGTCTCTCTCTGTCTCTCTCTCTCTCTATCTATCTCTCTCTCTCTCTCTCTCTCCTCAGCTTCGGGCTCCGACCCTATTGTCGTCACGGGGATGCGCGTTTCATGTGAACCATTCTCTTATCCAACAAACGATCTCGCCTTTTCGCCACTCCAAAGGAAGTATCCCTATGAGATCGCTTGAATTTCTTTCCATCTTTTTCTCTCTATTTTCTTGTTCTTTTGTCCTTCCATTCGGCCCAGCCTATCGTCAGGATTTTTACAATTTGCAAAAAGTCCGATCGAAACGATACATCTATGTCTCTTTGAGTAAAGAGTCTCATAGCGCGAGTCGGTTAAGGCGAAAATTAATGATCGCGTTGTAATTGTCAAGAATCATCGTTTCCGCCTTACGCAACTTGCATCCTGTGTCTGTCCGTTGAATCGTTCGTATGCAAAATATACGTTTAGTTTTTGGTACTAATCAACATCGACATTAAATCCGAGATATGAAAGGATTAAATTAGTTTGTAAATACTTTTCAACTTACATCGATGGATAAGATCAATGCGAAGAGAGCAAGCAAGGCGATCATCGATATCCTCGTTGGGAACATCATCCCGCTAATTTCTTCGTTAGATATCGCCCTTATTTTCGTGGATCTCAAAAGATCATCGCAAGAGCGTTGAAAAGAGACGATCGATAAGACGATCGATATATGTCCTTCTTCGTTTTACGAATGCACCGGATAATTGTTATCGGTATCGGACGGGAGGACTCCGAGAGTGGGATATACGATCAGGCGTGGCCAACGTACGCCAACGACGGTTCAACGTGGACTGAAGCTGCGCTCCGGTGCGGCCACGGCTGTTACGGCGAAACCGCTACTACACAAACGTGCAGCTGTAACACGCGTTCGGTCACGTGTCATACCTCTCTAGCCCCATGTATCCCTCTTGTTCTCTTTCTTATTTTTTTTTTCTATCTCTCAACTTCTACGTTGCAACTTGCATAGGCGGAGTTCGTCTCCTCGTAAGTAAAACGGTAATTTAATTGCGATCGACGTTTGCCCGCTATAAATTCCCTATATTTCCCGTTTTCTGTTTGGGACGGTATTGTTTTTAAATGGTCTCTCCTAAGAACGGATCTCCTTTTGGATAACACGTAAAAAGAAATAAAAAGAAATTGCACATCCATATCTTTGTTCTAATAGGCGATCTCTAACACGAGTCTCGAGAACAGCTCGATTCTTCGGACCGAAAGTCGATCTAATCTAAGAGAGAAAGAAAGAAAGGAGAGTGTGTTAAGATCAAGGAATTATGAAAATGCAAACAAACAACAAGAATACATGTGCCTGCTCGTTGTCAGCTGCTGTTACCGATGCAGCTGACAACACATACAGCCTTCTCTGGCAGGCGGTCTCTCAGAGACACATCTCATACTCGACGAGACAGGTGCGCTTGCCACGCGACCACCGGCCCCTTTGCCGAAGCGCGATTGGCTATGGACTCGCTAGCACGATATCAATTCGACAAATGTTCTCCTTTCTTTTATATAAATTTACGTTAATACGACACAATAATTTATTATTACTATTATCATTATTATTATTATTATTATTATTATTATTATTATTATTATTATTATTATTATTATTATTCGAAAGGAGAACGTCTTACACGATCTTTCGTTATTGTAATAGTAAAGGAGATAGCCAAGGTTCCCGGGTTTTAAAACGGGTTTTCTCGTCGTCGTAAAAGCTCGCTCGGCGAAAAGATAGTTAATAGCGATCGCGTTATCAAGGAAGCGAGTCGATTATTGCGAAAGGGTCAACTTGGCTCGTGATTTCACGATATCTGTAGACCAAACGTTTCCCATACATAAATAACGCCTCGCCTACGTCTACCGCGTTATATGGCCCCATTATATCCTATTATATCAAGCAGCTATTATATGGGATTATATTTTATCGTAACGTCGTGTCTCGACGGCGACGTAACGACGAATGCGGCTGATTCATCGCCTAAATCGGCGCACGTTCTCTTATATTGCTTTTCGAAAGATTTCGACGACACGAGATGCGTAAAATTAAGCTGCAATGAAAGTCATATATCGAGCTTTTCGAGAAATCGTTCTCGATATCGAAGCAAAAATAAAAAGGTCGAAGAAGGTTAGGTACGAGAAGCCCGCACAGATGATCACGGATCCATTCGTTCCAATCTGATTCAATTTAACTTCTTAGTTTCTTCGTGCTTTTTGCCGTTTGCCAAGAAATAACGAAATGAGTAGTGCGTTATCGTCGAACGATCGCGGATTAATAAATTGTCCTCGAAGAAGATCGTAAAGAAACGACCGTTACTTACTCAAAACGATGGAATTCGGGGAAAGACGCCTAGGGGACAAATTTCCATGTTGTTCCGAAAAAAGTCGGTCCGTTGCTTCCTCAACTTTGGTACGCTTCGAATTAACATCGTTCTTTTTTTATTTTTTTTTCCTTTTTTTCTTAACCTGCTATCCCTTTATCCAACAATTTACGTATAACAAATTTAAACGTTCTATCGTCTATCCTTCCCCTCATCCTTGCCCTCGGCCCCGACCACGACCGACCGCAGAGAGTGCCATCTACGAGGAAAAGTCTCGCGGAACAACTCGAACCCATGGTAAACGGACTAACATATGTCCTTATATATCACCACCAAAGGAGTGACATCTTTGATCGTACAGACCGACGTTACCAGCATACGGGAAGTTATCCAACGAGTTCGTTGCGGCGATATAAGGAACACGGCGGAATTTGTTTTCAACATTATGCATCGCGTGAAGGACGGTGGAGGAGGAACGGTTCTTCGAGAAATTTTTGAAAAGAACTTGCAGTATTTTCGTGAGATAGTGGAAGATACCATCGACCGACGGGTAAATTATTATTTACTCTATATTCTTACAGGCTAATTTAATATTAATTAACACCCATAGATACAGGACGAAGTCGACGTGATGATTCACGCGCAAAATGACATCAAAGAAAAATTTCAAACGTTATCGGAAACGATAGCTCGTAGAATAACGAAAATCAAGAAACGTCTTTATGAGATCTCGCCTGACTTTGATTGGTTGACCGATGGAAAAGACAGAAAGAAACTTTCGATGTTAATTATCAGAGTAAATCGATTAATCACCGTTTTAATTATCGTTTGACGTTTACGTTTTACGTTATTTAGAAGGGTCGCCAGACTGAGGAACAGCCCGGTGCAAGGGAAAAACTCCTTCACCAAGTTTTCATACGAGGACAATGGCTGGAGAAAGAGTTGTCGCGTTTACAGGAAGAAAACGCCAAGCTTAGAATTTATTTGGAGAAATTTCGGTGTTTGGCGAAGGAAAGAAAGGCACATGAATTACACGTGCCGCGGATCTTGCAAACGGAGAGAGAAAATCTCGACAAAGAATTGAATGAGCTGCGTAAAATTTACAAACGAAACTTGTCCATCATCGACGACCTTTACATCGATTATCGGAGATGCGCTAATTCCGAAAGTAATTGTGCGATACTTCAACGCGAACATTTCTAATTGTATATCAACCTTCGCAAGGTCCCTCTTAAAAACTTTTTATATTTTTTATTACATTTACTAACAACTTTCTACATGTTGACATATGTTGACGTATAAATATAAAAGTCCGCGCATGCTTCCTGCGTATGCGCGTGTAATAATATATTTTATCAATATATTTTATTCGATTATTATTATCATTATTATTATTATTATTGTTATTATTATTATTATTATTACTATTGCTACGAACGTATATATATATACACGAGAGAGTCCGCAGGAAACTACAAACCCATCTTAAGAAGAAGGAATATCTATACAAATAACTAGAAAACTAATATAAAGTTTCGTCGAGTCGAGCAACCGACAGAATCGAATTGGAGCGCATCGTTCGTTTCTTCGTCGTAAAAATACAAGTTGTTTGAAAATCGATCAATTTAATATCTATCGAGATCGTTTGATATTAACAACCGGGAGCCGAAAGCTACGAACGACTGCGATCGAATTAAAAAAAAAGAAAAAAAAACAAAAGAGTCTCTAAAAGATTACAGTCTGCAATTGCCTTCTGTATGCTCGATGACTATATATCGAAAGGATAAGATTATTTGGTTGATTCTAGACAGACTTAACAAGGGGCGGATGTTAAAAAGCATCCGCTGGAATCCTTATCGCTGGTAATTTGTCTTTTTAAAGGACGCGCGAAGAAAGGAGTAGAAAATTGAAACGAGTAGTGCCGAATTGGTATAACGTTTCACGTATTCTTCGCAACGCCGACCTCGCTGCCATGATGACTCGAAGCTTTGGACTTTCTATCTGGATCCATTGCGATGGAGATAAATTCCTCGGAAATTTTTTTGTCCAAACCAGTGTAGGTCTGAGCCAAGTCAACTTGATCCTCGCTGATCGAGGATATTCTCTTGAATTCACTTTTCCCTTCTGACGGTCGTTTTCTATCGACGTTGTCTTCTTGTCCCGATTGAACCTGACGCTTGTTGTGCTTTAGCCGAATCTATGGTACAAAAGATGCGTTTTTGTATAAACACGCCTCGTTTCTTGATACACATGCATTTAAAGCAACTTTAGTAAAATTAACCATTTGCGATGGCGGTCGTTGAGCATAAGGCACGTGCGATATTACGGAGATTGGTCGGTAAGGCGCTGGTGGTATAGGGATAGCCGTTGCGGAGATAAATCCTCCTGGATACTTTCCTGGTGCTGCGCCGGGTATCCCCCCGTAAGGTGACTACGATGATAAAAATATAAAAAGGAAATGAATGAAGGCTCAAACGCGATAACGTTGAAATAATTCAGGATTATTCGTTAGAAAGAGTGTGCGTATTGAACCAAGCAAAAAGAATCGCCGGAGAAGACGAAGAACAAAATGTAGGTGCCGAAATAGCCGGAGGCTCTTGCGGCAAGAATTTCCCTCGCGCGTCAATCGACGTCCGCCGAACTTTCTAGTTTTACTCGTGTCAATGACCTAGACCCTTTCCAAAGTAACTCGACCGACTATCGTATACTTGTAACTCTCGATGAGAGACTTACGCGAATCAAGGGATGATGAACCGGCATCATCGGCTGAACGACGTAGATCGGTTGATTCTTGGGCACGTGATTTTGTGCGACAACCCATTGTTGGACCATATTACGAGTCTTCAATCGACCATCTACGCAACCGATATCGTCCGCTTGATTCGATCTCAGACAGCTACAGAGTTTCGGCGTTAAGGTCAGACATGTGTAGCCCGAGATAAGGAGTTCTGCGACGCTGCCGATCAGCAGACCGATACTGGCTAATAGACCGGCCCAACCACCTTCTATTTCCAGCACGTTGTTCTCTTCGCCCTGGTGAAAAAAAAAGAAAGATCCCTTCTTATAAATACATATAAATTAATAGATATCGCTAAAAGTATTGAAATAACAAGGATGAAGCTCCGTTCATAATCTCTTTCTCTCTCTCTGCCATTTTGTTACGAGCAGCCATTTTGTGGTCAGACTAGCGAGACTATCTCTGAAATTCCATAATGGTGCTTCATGACCGCATTTCAGCCTTGGCATTGATAACTTTCTCCGACGATCGTCTCCTTTGCGAGTATAAGCCGACGGTTCGAAGTAACCAACTCGCGAGTTACTCGGCAATCGGGACAAAAGATGGAAGAGGGGAAAAGGAGGTCATCGATAAGGGCTCGGCTCCAACGTTATAATCGATACAACTCGATTGACTCGACGAAAAGAGATACTAAAAGGCTAAGTTTTTAAAAGAAATAACGATCCTTACGGGAAGCGTCAAGAGGGTCACCTCCGGAGTCCTTTGGGAGTCCCTGACGACCGCCGTCAGGGCCGTGATGGCGGCCATGTTGGATAGCGCCAGGGCCACCAAACTGGAAGCCAAATGAGCCGTCGAAAATCCAGAATTCGTTCTTCCCGATGAACTCGCCAAAGCTGCTACCACACCGAGCGCACCGGCTACCAAAGCGCCTGTACCTGCCCATAATCCTGCACCTGATCCTCCTAAGGAGGCGCCGTGGACCAATACCAAGACACCAAAGACGACTAGGATGATACCTGATGGAATGTACGGCGTCGAACGAATTCTTTCTTTCTTTCTTTCTTTCTTTCTTTCTTTCTTTCTTTCTTTCTTTCATTCTTTCAAAGAGCTTCTTTTTTCCTTTCTTCTTTTACGGACGAAGAAATGACAACGAGACTGCCTCTCTCGTCACCGACAAACTAAAGATATTCATTTTGACAAATCACCGACGGACTCGTGGCACTTTTCAATTTTTCACGGTTTGCGGATCTTACGGATTCTAATGGATCTTACGATTATAACTTTCTAAGTGAAATGTTTTCACTTTTATATGCCATTTTCTATATGCGCACACGTCGGTTCTTTCTAATGAATTTTTTTTTCTTTCTTTTTTTCTACTCTATTTAAGATCGGCAGCATCGTATGGAAAAACTTCGTGCGTGTTATGAAAATATGGATATTTTCTTTTCTATCATCAAGACGGTAATCAGTGCGTCATTGAATTAACTTAAATCGTAAAAATCCTAAGAAGATACGCCGATAAAACTCCGACGCATATCTTTAATTAGTTGGACGGCGATTCTTCGAGAAAACTTACCGAGCAATAATTGTCCGCAGGACGTGAACATTAAAAGATTGGAATCGTCCCTGGTCTCCGCTTTACCTAATCTCGGTCCGTTCTCGTCGCGTTGTTCTTGCCTCTGATGTTGTTTCTCTTGTTGTTTCTGATGTTTCTCCGATATCAATATCTCTTTGGAGTGCTTCGACTCCATACAACTTTCTGGCTTCGAGCCTACATTGCTAGAGTCCTTCGATTCGTTCGAATCGTTCGAATCCTGACTCCTGACGGTCGAGTCCAAGGCCATCGTTGCGTTATTCATCTTCTCCTTCATCATGTTCCACCTAAATCTTATTCGATCTTTCGGCTCCCTTCGGATCTCGACCTTTAAGATTATCTTTTATCTTCTCGTTTACATATTACACGCGATGATAGCGATTAGCAACAATTCGATTCTATAGGTCGTTCCAGGCCCGATCTTATTCTTATATCAATGTTATATTACTCCTTCCTATGTTTCTGACTTCCTCGAGAAAGGTCAATAGACACAGTGTAGTCGCTGATCCGGTTGGCACAGTCCGCTGACTCGCAACGATCTGTAAATTAAGCAAAACAAGAAGTGTGTCGATTCTCATTTACGAATCCTAAATTACGACTTTATATATCATTTCCGACGAAGAAAAAATTCCGCAAATAGGAAACATACTCTAACTTTGTGTCCCTCTCTTTGTGATCTAATTCGAAATCGTACGACGCTAACGACGGATCATTATTAACAGGGATCATTTTCAATGAGAATCGCGCGAAGAAGAGCGACCGTTTTGACGTACCGCGGCGATTATCGGGATAGCTATCTGTCGTTGCTCCGTGATATTTGGGATGAAGAATTTCAAATCAAGATTGATCTTCGCCGCTCAAAAGTCGTTTTCGAAGAAGAGGATCGTTTAATGTCGCGTGATATTCAAGAGCACTTTTCCACAATGGAACACTTTTCCAAATGGAACACGAGCACTCGGACGATTATTGATGGGGTGGAAGATTAATGATGGGTTGGAGGAGGTCGTTGGGGAAGGGGCATGGGAGAGGGGGGAGGGAAGAAAATCGAGGGAAAAATGTTTGAAGAAGGCGAACGTCAAAGTCGACCGGTCGATCTCACGTCCGTACTGTGACTGGAACGTTTAGAGGCAACACGGAGGAATCGCGAGTGTTGTACCAACTTGTCTCTCTCCCTTTCCCTCTCTCTCTCTCTCTCTCTCTCTTTCTCTCTCTCTCTCTCTCTCTCTCTCTCTCTCTCTCTCTCATTCTTTCTCTTTTCCCTTCCTCTTTCCATCCCGCTTTCCCGCTCACCGTACACCGTACGACGCCGTCTTCGTTCACCTTTCCCTCCTTTTCAACCTGCCTCGGCGAGATTTTATATTCGTGAGCCACGCGGTTATCCTTGTCCACGCTTGCCATTGTAATGCGAATTCTCGTTGTCTTTGATCCAGAATCTATTCACCCAACAGGTCTTTTCCAACAGATCGCTAGACGTTTGCCCGGAGAGCTTTCTAACAATTCTCAAGTGCTTGAGAGAATCGTTGGCTTTTTTTCTACGTGCGAGTTCGTCGAAAGAAACGCGTATGCCTGAAATCATCTGAGGAGATGAAATTTCGAATTAAATCTGCGAATACGTTTGTTCATCCCATGGAAAACGTTAGGCGGGTTCTCGCGCGTAACAGGTTGCAGAGCCGAACGCGGTTGGGCTCGCTCGAGCGATGCCTTTACTTCTCGCAATTAGCCCGCGCACGTCTAATAAGTTTTCTTCTGGCGAATAAAAGCCATAACATGCTTGCGTCGCCTTGCGTTTACTCGAGAGCAAAGTCGGAGAGCATATCTCCCGTTTGCCGGCTCGCGAACCGCGCAGCCGGCCGCGGCGAATTCAAACTTTTTCTCTACTTATTCTTCTCTTATGCTACCTCTTCCACACGTACGTATGTGCGCGCATAGTACGTATGTGCGACAATGAACACAGCTGGCTGCTAGGATCTATGAATTCCTTCTAACCGGCCACCGATGATGAACGCCAAGAAAGAGAAGAATATCCGTACGTGCATTTCTCTTCGTGACTGTTTAGAAGAATAAAGTCAGACAAGAGAGCTTGCCAAAGAGATTATTAGATTGAATTTCTGTTAAATTTGCACATGAAAAAAGGGAAGAAATACATGAGTACTCGAATCAATGCCTATTCGCGTATTATTCTTTTTTTTCTTTTTTTTCTTTTTTTCTTTCTTTCTTTTTCCAGCGAATATCAAAGAGGGCAAAAACATCATTACCGTCTACCCGGCGGTAGACGTCGATGCTCGGTGAGCGAGATGAAGTCTTTGCGCGCAAACTCCGAGAGCTTCCAGAGGTTTCTCCGCCTTTCTAAACCGACTTACACGAGAGAAATGCGCGAGTCCAACGGTGGGAGGGGGAGGGGGAGAGAAAGAAAGAGAGAGAGAGAGGTCAAACATCCTGACGCTTGTGAATCCTTCGTCCCGAGTTTGCGCGCAAAACTTTAAATTATCCATGAGAATTTAAACGACGTCATTTATCGAAAACGTTTCCAGGAGAAGCAAAGGATACTGAACAATTTCTCCTTGATTTTTCGAAATCTCGCAAAAGAACGAACCAAAGCGAGACAAATTCGTCGTAAATTTATGGCTGAGAAAGGAGAGGAGAATTCAGATGCATAGGAGCGAAAGTTTCCTCATGATTTGCTATTTTTTTGCGGACCTAGCGAGCCCGCTTACCACTCGGTGGTAAGGAAAGTGCCGATCGTTAGAAACCGACGGACGTGGGAAATGAAACGCGAGCCAGGCGAGGGTTCAAAGCGCGAATCACCGATCCATCGAGCGAGTCCTACAACAACGCTGCTCCAAGGAGAATTGTTCTCTGCGGTTGGAGCGCATTCCACGGAGATGAAATAATCTGACCTTTTCTTAAAGCAATAACCGATCGTTTTTTAACCAAGCTTCACATCCCGCTATCCCGTTTCTACTTCCTATCGTTCCTTTCGAGCGCAAATCGCTTTCAGGAAGCTTTAGCTCGATCCTAAATCGATGAAATTATTCAAAATTTGAATAAGACGGTAAAACCGTCGTGGAACATTGCCTAAGCGTTGCGTCTACGGGCGGGAAGGGGAGAGAAGAAGAAGAAAAGGTAATTAGCCTGCGCCTAACGGTAATTTAAAATTTAATATGCATTGTCTTTTTGACGCGCTGCCAAGAAATTCGCAGCCCAAGAGAAGAGGCACGGATTGTGTCGACGCGACGAACCATCGACAAAAAAATCTCCGTTCAAATCGAAATAATAAAAGATGCAAATGTTATTTGCGGCAACGCACGCGGGAAAATATATGAAGCGTGATAGATCGGACAGGAAATACCAAAGGCGTATTGCCAGTTGGCCGAGGGAAGCAGATAATTGGAAGGGAAACTTCTCGTTGGGCAGCGGTCGCATTAGAGCGACACGTAGCACGAAGGTGATATCGCTCGATCGGTGCTTTCGATATTATTTCCCCTGGCATCCGATAATCGGGCAACTTTGTTTAAACAGGTCTCGCTTCGTTTCGCCTCTTGCGCGATATCCGGCGCAATATTTTATATCAAGACTTTCGACGACGAGGCATCGATCGATGATGACGGTAGAGGACGTCTATCCGTTTATCCGAGTCGCGATATTCATTCCACTTGAACGTTCCACTCGGCTCGATTATTTCGTCATAAAGCAAGAGGAGAGTGCCGACTCGAGTTTCCTCGGATATAAGTATTTATTATAAATCCGCGTGCCTATATAGTAATAGGTACATTGCTATCCCTCGACCACGTAGTTAGACGTAAGCGAGCAAAGTCGCGCGCGGACTTGAAAATCGAATTACCTCGCGGCTTTTTTCCGACACCAGGAAGGAGCCAGCGGAAGATGACTCTATTGGAGCAGAAAACTGTGGCACTGTCACGAACCTCATAAGCTTTAATGGCCGAAAAAGTTTTACGCGGCCTACTCTTTTATATTCCCTCTTCGAACGGACGAGGTGAAAGTCCCCGTACAATGTGATTTAATAAATTCCACCTAATGGAGAGGGTTCGAAGTACGACCTTGAAATCGTAAAACTCCTTTTTCTATCAATATAGGAGTATTCACACGGTTAAAAAGACTATTCGTACGCCTAATGCGATTAAGGTTTCGCCAACCTTAATCTTTTGAAGGAAAGTAGTGAATTTTTTATTTAACAAACGACGGCAAACTTTCTAACTTAATAAACTCGTTTTTTGCATCTTTTTTCTTAGAAAACCACCGACCGCGAAAGACGAAAGAAGAGTCGAAAGATACAAATGATTCTTACCGCGGCCGTTTCTAATTCGCGAGCGCGCGCGTGACGGAAATGACTTAAATGACAGAGAAGGGCGAAGAGAAACGTCACGGAAAGTCGAGGAGTTACGTTAACCACCGACAGAATTTCACCGTCGGATTTACTTTCGATATCGATTCGTCGCGTTTATACAGGTGTGCTAAGATCTCGATGATCGGAGATCGAGGAAAAGAAATATCTTAAAAAGGAAGTAAATTTCGAAAAGATTACCGAAGCGAGCGAGAGAGTATCAATGGAGGAAGCCCCGATCGGAACGGTTAAGAGAGTAGGCCAACGAACTGACCGGTGCGCAAGACCAACGAACCAACCTCGTATGGATTGCGTACGTTTGCATTCCATTGCGACGTTCCTACGAGCGACGTATCTCGTCATCGTTTCGCGAAAGTAAAACGTGACTCTGTGACGATAGGAGGAGCCGTCGTCGATTACGCTCGTAACCCGATTCACCGACGGCTCGCTTAGAGAAAGAGAGCTTTCTTCTCAAAATCAAAAAGGAACGTTGTTGGCCGTCCGACCGGAACGATCTAGAAAGATAAATTCTAGATAATCTCGAGGTGCAAGATCGAGTCTAGAGAAAAATTCAGGAATGTAATGGCTCGTTAGAGTCGATCGAACGAGTAGTAAATGCTTCCTCGTCCGCTAACTCGACTTTTCTCTCTCCCTCTTTATCGGCACTTCAACCACCTTCGTCCTTGTCTCTATATCGTAAAACACCCAACCGGCTCGCCTTGGCCAAGCAGGAAAACACATCATCCTATAAACACGAAATGGCATCTCTTATCGTTACACCCTATGGCTTATCTCTTATAGGTCACACGGACGAGTCGTTTCATTCAAAACGATTTCACGTAATTTACTCCATTGGAAAATAATTTGCCTTTACATTTTCCTGCCGCTGAAATGACGATATAATATACATATATATGCATATACATATGTATGTATATATATATATATATATATATATATATATATATGTTGCCTACGTTGAAAAGTAAAAGGTAAAAGGTAGGACGAGTTCTTCGCGATCGACGCAATCGTAAATGTACGCTTTTACGTACGATTCTCGTCTAATGACAACGGCTCGAGAATCGAAATAGGCGCAAAGTTTGCGCGCAAGCGAGGATAGCAACGGTGCCGCGCGAAAACTCGAGCAAACGCGACTATAGGAATATCAATGAGTCCCCGCGCCGCCTTGAAAACTCTCGAATTACGGCCCAGGACGGGTCTCTCTTGCGACAGGTACTAACGTAATTCGGGTCGGCCCGGTCGCCTCTAGAATCTCAACGAATCGTTAACGTTCTTTCCTTACGATCGAATCTACGTTTTAATACGCTTAAGAATGTTTCCTCTTCCTTCCTCGAACGTAGACTTTAAATGACGAAGCAACGTTCAATTGGTACGTTCAACCGAAGGAGAAACGAAAAATGCGGTATAATTTATGCACTTAACCGACTCTTCTCCTCGTACAACGAGTTTCGCAAGGCTTCCCTGTTGCAACGTTTAATTGCGCTTGCCTAAGTAATAAAACGAATACTCCCGCCGCAAAGTATGCGCGGCTTTTGGAATACTTTTGGAATGTTTTTCGGCTTTGTCTCTTGCTGGAAAGAAAAAAAAAAAAAAAAAACCATCGAGATGGAAATGGGATGTAAAATTCGTTGCAAGTCGAAAGGACTCGAAGAAAAAGGCTCTCCCAATTAGAAAGATTCTAGTCGAGTTAGCCGCTATACGCGGGTCGTATTTATATGCACGTACGCGTATTGTGTTTGGCGGGTAGTAGTACGGTCGCGAGTAGTACCGTTCGTTTCGCGTAGGCGCCACACCTATGTTTCCCGTAAACAAGCGTAAGCGAATACGACATTGTAATGCGGCTAATAAGATAGAGTTGAATGAACCCGTACAAATTTGAGATCGAACCTTGAGAGTAAACGTCGAGCGTGTTTTTTCTTAAAGATATAGAGAAAAAACTTACACGTAGAAGCATCTCTCGCCGTAAACTCGCCGTAAAACTCACCGTATCGACGATGCTTCCCTTCCAAAACGATCTCCCCCAAATAACAACTACTCTCTTTGGAGAACTTTATTCCAATTTCGTTCACGGTCTTCATGTCGGTCAGGTAGACACTGAAAGTAGTAAAGCGATAGTCGGCGGAAAGATCGTTAATAGATTGTTAAAAGAGCCATTATTTTCTTAGCGAAACTCACCACTTTCTCCAACCTGCGTTCAACTCGAACGTCTCGTACGGCAGGATGATCTTCAAGCCCGAATCATTGGCCAATAACAAAACAGGTTCGTCGATTATCGAACTAATTCCCGAGCTAATTTCTTCTGCTTTGTAAACGACGGATCCTTGAATATTTCGATCAAACTCGACGTATATTAAGAATAATCTGTTAATTTTATGAAATCATGTACATCTCGGTGGATTTAAGATCGACGGAATAAAAATACTTTACCTATGATATTCGTCGGGATTCTTTGTTATCAGTTTAAGACTGCCTCCGCCCTCGTACGAATATACATTGGAAAATTCGAAATAATTCACGTTCGTAGGTAATGATTTTGGTTGAAAACTCACGACATTGCCCAAGAACCGAACGTAACACTTTTCGGTTTCGTACACGTAAAGAGCTTCTTTCTTCGAAGAACTTTTGTTGTCATCGGTAGGCTTTTCTTCTGTGTAGCCCAAAATTTTCAAAAGTGGCACGGGCACCGAAATTTGCACTTTTTGCATGGACAAATTATAGAACGGCTTCTCGTCGTATACTTCGGATTGCGTCTAGTAAAAAATTAACAAAGTTAAATAAAATTATTGAAATTATTTAAGGAGGGAGAGAGAAAGAGAGAGAGAAAGAGAGAGAAGGGGAGGGAGGGAGGGAGGGAGGGGAGAGAGAGAGAGAGAGAGAGAGAGAGAGAGAGAGAGAGAGAGAGAGAGAGAGAGAGAAGCTAGGTTAAGTTTTTACTTACTACACCACGACGATAATAGACCGAGCCACTGCCACGACAAAAGGACGTGTTAAATCTTTCATTGTCATAGATTGGAATATGAACGTATAAGAAAGGAAAAAGTTGAGCCCAAAACATGTCTTCCAATTGTCCGAACGTTTTGGGTCCAAAATATTCATGCGTCCAACCTGGAGCAAAAATGGCAACCGATAGATTCCGTTTACGTATCCTTTCGAGTGCCTGAAAAAATATATATATATATAATAATATCCTCTTTAATACATCTTCCCTTATTTATGTACTTTTATTTAAATAAAAAAAAGAAACGAAAATTGCTTTATATTGGTAGATAATTCACATGAGCAGAATTGTAACCGCCACCACCAGGACATCCTCTGCCCCAAACGTCCAAGCCCACGTAAACGTCCTTTACGTCTCGTTTGAGATCTATCGCGAGAATACAACTATTGATTAATTCCGAATCTGACCAATTGTAATTTAAAAATATTCCATCGCAACCTAGAAAGAAGTCCCTGCGATAAAGGATAACTTGATGTAACAGTCCCTAAGGCACACATAATCCTATGCAATATCATAATTAAGACGATATTACTTATTTTTCTCGTTAAGCTCATTCTGCCACTTCAATTCTCCCGTGTTGATTACACTGTCGTACCATATTATTTCAGAGCCAATAATTTCCTTGTGAATATGATCGCTCAAATATTTAACAAAGTAGACGAGATTATTAATCCCTTCTGGTTTAATACTATTTTCAACATTGAGCAACCAACCATCGAATTTATAAAATTTTGCTATTTGAACGAGGGCATTGGCAAAACGTTTTACGGTTTCTTCAGACTCCAAAATCAGATTCCAAATAACTTTGCCGTCGGCGTGTTCCGTAATCACCGTACCCAACACTTTTACTCCGTGGCTATGAGCTGCATTGATCCATCCATAAGGTGGAATGGTCACGAAATAGTGGCTGAAATAAACGAACGTATCTATGACGCTCCAGTGATAAAATAGATACTCTTCGTTTGAATTGGAACCGTTTATAAATCTGCAATGAATATTAAGGAAAGACATATTAGATTTATTATAATTAAAAATATAATGAGACAATTGAAAATTTTGCCGTCTTACCTATCTTCGAGGTAACCACCTTTCATATCGTGACAAAGCAATGTCCTTGGCACTTTATCTTTTCCAACTTTGGTTAATCTCGATCCAGAGTAATGTACCTCGAGCCCTCGATGAACGTATTCAGTCGACTCCCTTAAAGGTGTCGTTTTTGGCCATGTTATTAAATTTTCCAGACCTTTGTACAATTCTGTAAGATTACGGAATGGGAAGGATTCCTGATTCCTGTTACCGTCCATCTCTGCGCTCTGCATTCTTCTACGGCGCAATGTCTTTTGCCATACTTTGCCTTTTGTCTACTTTATACGTCTCTCTATCTAGGATGAAGTTATATTCCGGTATACTTGAATCACCGGAAAAATTTTTTCAACAACTTAATTGTACACTGATCTGATGCTGATAACTCGTTAAAACAAATGAAATATTTGCGTAGTTCGAGTCGAGTCCTTATCTAACGGCTGCAAACCTTTCACATTATCGCGTATATATATAATCACGTGAATTAAAGGGAAACCGATGTCACTGTAACATAACGAACGGTACAAAGAGGTTATGTCGTCGTCACGTGCTAGGGAAATTTCCAATGAAACGCATGCGTGTAAGGAAATGATAAGAGAAAAATAAGCATGTGTGTGTATATATATATATATATTATGTTTAATTTTCTAACCGTTTCAACGCATTTCAATGCGTTATTGAATCGCATGCGTCCTGCATAACCTGATAACAACACTTCGTAACGATTACTGCACATTGTCGATAAACTCGTTAACCGCACTCCTTCCTAATCCGCTTGCACTGTTTTCCGGATGTACATAGATATGTATACGTACACACTGCGTGAAAAGAAAAAAGTATAAAACATAAAATGGCATGTATCCTAGAGGATAATAAAAAATTTACCGGCAATCAATTTCGTCATTAGCGTCACTAGCTCCATCTCGTAAAATATTGATTTTCATATTGGAAGATCGATCGGAATGAAAAACGAAAGTACTTACGTTTCTTGCGAGTAATACAAGAAAAGGAATGCGAGAGTTTAATAAGAAAAAAGTCTTGATCGTAAGATCCTCCTTTATTCGAATAACAATCGTTTTTGAGAGGACAGGAGATCCCCACGAACGTTAAGGTAGACATAACTGTGTGTGGGATAGTTGGAAGACGTTACGAGATCGTTACTTAAATATAAAAAACTAACGGAAAATCAATGCGCGATATCATTCTTCGTTCCTTAATGATGGTCCCGTGGCACGTCACCGCAACTAAATTATATTACAAATCTATCTACTACTTTGTCCTTCCCTTCCCTTTCCATCCTTTGAATCCTCATGCTTATTCTCATCGATTCTTTATGGAGGAAGAAATATGGATTGTCTAAAATCTGTAGTAGGCGTTTACAACGAACTAACCTTTCTTCGATCACGATCGAGGAAGAAAGTTGTGTCGATAATAACGATTAAAAAGGCAAAGAATGTTAGGGATAACGCGAAGCATCATGTTATCTTAAAGTTATCTAAAAGATGATCGAATAAAAATATTTTAATGACAATCAAAATTGTTGCATGCGTGGATCTATTAAGTTAATTCGTTGATTCTGTACAATTCGAACGAGAATATTTTGGTTGGTGGTCCTATTGAGTACAGAGTTTTTTTTGTTTTTTGTTTTTTGTTTTTTTTTTTGTTTTTTCTCGTTACTCGTAGTACACTACTACGTTACTAAGTTCTTTCCAACGACCCTGATGAAAGATCGGCCCTTTTCAAAAGTATTATAAACTCTTAGACAAAGTTATCTTTTGCGTGTATATATCACATTGGAGTCTACCTAATAATACGACTACCTATAGGTAATGTTCTCTCCCGTCGTTCCTAAATATATTACGTAATTATAGCCCCTTTTCTAGCCATTTTCTTTCATAATTAGCTTCTCCAACGCATAGTCTGCTAACTTTTCATAGGTTTAACCGTATCCATGTATGGAAGCGCATTCATATGAGATACAGATGTGCACATAAACGTACACGTAGACGCGCGCTCAGAAGAACATTTTCTGTACCTTGCAACCATTGAAAGTTTTAACAAGCGATTCCTTGTTTTTAAATAATCTTTACGGAATAGGGACTGTTTAATAGTAATTCTTAACATGGTCAATTGAAACTGCACTGGAATGGTCAAATGAAATACTCTAAGAACGCATTTGTAAAAAGTATGCGACATCCAAATTCTATCAAACTAAAATTATCTACGTCTATTTATTCGCAAGTATATATACATACATTTTTATACCTACGTATATATATATATATGTATATATGTATGTATATATATATATACACGTATGTATGTGTGTATAGGTCGTTATCTTAATATTTGGTTCCTTGTATAATGGGTATGTGTTTCTATCATATGTATATACGTATGTTCTATGTATGGATTTATATGTATGTATATACACAGGGTGTCCCTAAAATATATTGAAATTGTAGTCACTTGTAAACGACAACAAGAAGAATAGCTTCGCTACTTGAGAGAATTTAGAAAATGCTTCTATATACGAGCATAGATTATTGTATTTTGTAAACAATAAACGTTATATAGCAAAGACTTTTACAAAGTTTCAACGAATCGTATTTAAGCACAATTTGACGATTTAAAAATGTGAAATTATTAGCACCAAAATTATTACACGCGTATATTAACAGATCGCACCATGATACATAATATAATCTCATTGTACGAAACGATGATTATAATTGAACGTTGAACTTATAACTATGCTTTTTATATTCGTTAATAAAAGTGAAAGATGGAAAAACAAAGGAAGATCAAAGTTCCTGCATCGTTCGGCAACGCGTGGAATATTTTAACGCATAAATAAGATAAAAGGCTACTAACATTGGCATTGAAAAATATCAGATCAAAATATAGAACTGAAATAAAATGCATATATAAAAATAGATAATACTGCTTCGTTGGACTTAAGTGTATATAATATATAGCCTTCCGTGTATCTTAATTCAATTATTCGATATTTTTTTACACTCATCCCGGGCAAGGGAAATACGATATAATTAAATTTATCGCGTGATCTATGATTATGACTAGAATATGAATAGGATATGATGATTTTGAATACAACTAAGATATAGTCTAAGATATGTCTAGACTAGAAAATGTCTAAAGGTATATGACGATCTGAATAGTAGATAAAGACAAATGCGTAATCCATAAAGATGAGAGTCGTGTCAACTTCTTTTTTTCACTTAGCTACTTGATGAAATTCATTCTTATTAATGTCGCGTAGGCCGATTTCCTACATTGTTTTCTTCTCCTTTTTTTTTCTTCTTTTTCTTATTACGTTCATAGGCCGTTCCCTACAGAAGATATTTTCCTATTTGGTCAGGAAAAATACCTCGAAAAATCACTAAACATACCGAAAATTTCGCAAATTTTGGAAAGAGAAAAGCTCTTTCCGTGCGAAGTAATACATTTCTTCGTTCGTACTGTTTTCGGTGTTCTTTTAAAAAATTTTTACTACGACGTCTTCCATTGACTTTGCAAAACATTTTTCGCGATTTGTTCTTCCCAAAGGAAATATTAGAATATGATCGACTAAAAGTAATAATAATAGGCGATTGAAAATCGTGGATATCGAGAAAGGAGATCGATACAATAATCTCACTTGATCGTTTTTAGAAAAGTTTACGCTAGGCGTTACTAAAAAAAGCAAAGGAAAAAAAAAAGAAAAAAAAAAAGAAATTATTTTTGAGGTAAATCAATAAATGGAAGAAATGGAAAGGCACGTTCTCAATTAAGAGAGAAGGCGCCGATTTATCGATTAGTTTCCTATCTTGACTTGCAGGTCTCGCGATGATCCATATGTGATCTATTGCGAACGCAAACTCCATTCTAAATTAGAAGAAGATATAAGATCGTTGTTTCGTTTTGTTTTGTTTTTTCTTTCTTTTCAAAAGGAATCGTTGCTTCGAGAACGACGAAATGTATACGAGTCATGAATCCGTTGAAAAAGTTGGCGAACGACGTTCGTAAAAGAACGAGCAGAGTCATCGTTAGATTAGACGGTTCTCGAAAAAAGAAAAACGAAAAGGGAAAAAGGAAAGGAAAAGGATGAGAAAAGGGAAAAGAAGAAGCTTATTAAAATCCCTCGTCGATCCCTCGATCTCGTGCCAAATCGAAGAGCTCGAAATCAGCGCCTGGTGGTTCGGGTATATCTGGTGCGACCGGTATCTCAGGCCTTAGAGGTACGCAATCCCGAGGAGAACACTCAACTCGACCCTCTGAGCCGCAGCTGCATTCGACGCAGTTTCCGGTCGAATGCGGCAGTACCTCGCCCTCTCGATACTCCCTACCTGCAATCAGAGAGAGAGAGAGAGAGAGAGAGAGAGAGAGAGAGAGAGAGAGAGAGAGAGAGGCGTCTTTGGTGCGTTTCCTCGCCCACTTGATTCCTTTTCGCCAAGAGCCGCGACCAACGCGGAAGAGAGAAACTTAACGAGCTTATTCTTTTTTTTTTTTCGAAAAAAAGAAAAGAGTTTTTTTTAGCTGTAAATGCATCTTTTAAAAGGACGTTCAACGTATTTTAGCTATATTCAAGAGGAAAAGTACGTTAACGTTCCATCCGAATTTTCGTTTTAAAGTCGTAATATTCGTCGATGAATTATTATCGATCGATCGAGATCGATATCGCCATTTCTCTTGTAAGACATTCTTTTAAAGAAAATAATAATTCATAAGTACCCATGACGAGGCACGTTGTTGGAGCAGACGGCGTAGTCGAGTACGTCGAGTTGATCTCGACGCGTCCTTGTGATTGCCCGACGAGAGTTTCCTCGACAAGATGATCACCGGAAGCTTCAGAACTATCGGCAGTGTCCGTGCTCACTTCCAACATGGGAGTATAATTGCTTCCTAAAGTCGTCGATAACGACGAGGCAGAACCCATTGAAGAGTCGGTACTCGGATTATAATTTTGCCACCAACAATAAACCTCGCCGGCGACGCAGAGGCAATGAGAGTTGACGTCGTATGACGGTATCTGAAAACGACAAAAGATATTCTTTCATTTATCCATTGTTCTATCATTTTTCTTTTTTCTTCTTCTGTGCTTTCATTTTTTAAATTATTTTTTTCCTTTTCCTTTTGTAATAAACGTCAATTGCAAGGTATCGAACAGTCGGCGTCGGCCCCTCACTCTCTCGCGATCACGTAAAAAAATCGTTGAAATTGGAAAACTCGACTTGAGTTTTCGCATCGGCGACCAAGAACCCCGATTTACCATTGACACAATCTCACGAAACGCGATTATTCCGGTCGTGAAATAAAATTTCCAATTATCCTTATTATTTTATTTCGCGATCTTCGTTGCGCTTGACATTAACGTCATTTTCACATTGAAAATTCTCTAATGCGAGCTCGCAATAGTCGTATAATACTCATCCTCGAATGTATTATATCCCTTGCAACATTTGAAAGGCAACATTTCTGCGTTTCGAAACCCGCGTAATATCGATGGTAAAGGTAAACGGTAAATTCGTCAACGTTCAAAAGCGTTCCATCGTACGACGTTAGGTATTTAACGATTCGCAATTAAAGCGAATAGAAATTTTTCACGCGTAATCCGATTTCTAGGTTGCTATTTACATATGTTATACAAGGATATCGAATAAATTCCCTGCTCGTTGTTCCAAGAGAAATGGAGAAGCGGAAAAAAAGATTGTGAATAAAACGCGTTTCGATGATAACCAGTAAGCCGGCTAGAAAAGCTTAACGTTAAATGGCATTGGCGTCGTGACACTCTTAAAGACTTTGCTTTAAGAGGAAGAAGAAGAGAAAAGAAAAGAAAGAAAAGAAAGAAAAGAAAACGGTAGTATCTTGTGGCAGGATATACGAGCGCCATTTCTGGGGAGCTTTCGACCTCCTTTCGCGCGCGCGGCGAAATTTGCTGCGTTACTAATTGGACGCGGGAGTGCAAGGCGATATTACCGTCTTTGCCGTCATATTCTCTGTTGCACAGAGATGCAACGTTTTACATTATATAATTTCTTTTTACAATTACATCTTTTTTCGCAAATCGTCGAACATTTTTTTGGCAAAAGAGAACGATCAAAATTTACCTCGAAATTTGATCGAATGTTGCATACTTCATTTATCTTGTCTCCTATAACAATGGGAATGTTGCGTCTGACCTATCCGACTCACGAGCAATCACCGTACAGGCAGAGAATAGGCCTAGTACCGCTCGAAACATCATCACACAAGTACGCTCTAAACGATATTATTGAACGATTAGAAATACGAGTAGAAAGATAATAAAGATGAATATAAAGTGGGGACCGTCTCGACTGGATAGAAAGAACGCGTACTGGAACGTAAGATATGGCTATTGATAGGATAGATACGTCTACTGTACTTTTTTTAAAAGAAAAAGTAAAAAAAAGGAAGAGAAAAGTAGGCCATTGGAAGGAGAAGAGAAGGGAGAAATGATAAAAAAGTGGAAGATGTTTTTCGTACTTTCCACAAGTAAGTGTATTTCTTTGGATTTGTTCGTAGCCGACGTAGATATAACATGTTTCGTCCATTTTTCGATATTGCGAGCCAGTCGAAGGCTCTCAGTCGAAAGAAGTTACTTCTCTTCGAAGTAAGCCGAGAAACAAACTTGATTGAAGCCTTGGAATCTCTTTCTTCGAGTTTAGGACACACTCTGAACGCGTTATAGTCGTCATGTCCAAACTTTTCGAGCTTATTTCACTTGGCCATTGTTAAAGAATTATCGCGTATATGGGCGTACGGAGAGACGGTAAGAGAACAGTCCAACGAGCAAAATCCTAAAGAATAAAAAGGAGTTTCATGAATAAAACATTAGGCAAAGCGTGACGCTGGAGTTACGTTATTAACCGAAAGATTATTGTTTTTTGCCGCTTTATGTACATACGTAAAACCGAGATATTACAATTCTCGCGTGACCTCATTTCGTCGGCGTATATCGTGTATACCGTGTTTGCATTAAAATGGCATTGTTTGCTGAAGCAGATTACAGGCAGGGAGGGGGGCTGGCATTCGCAAATAAATGTTAATGAATTTTCATGCTACGTATGAACGATGACGATATATCGTTGATCGCTAAAGATTAAATTAATTAACGTCTATTTAAAATCTGCCAAAAATAAGATAATGCGGATTTTTACTCGCGTTATATTAATCGAATTACGTGAAAATTTTCGTTCAAAGACGAACCACACACACATATGGTTGCGAGTTAATTTATTACGTTACTAGATCCATTACCAAAGATCCACGTCGGTATTTTCCGATAAGGGTATGTGTGTACATTCTATTTCAATTAGTAGCGACTATGGGGATTACTTCTAGCCCGGCTATTTACGTATGCGTACTACGTGCGTGCGTGTCTATACGTAGAGCAGTATATACGCAGGAGTGCACGATCCGAAAGCACACACGGATTTTCACCAAAATCCTGCATTATTACTCTCGAGACGCATGTGTCTCGATTGACATAAAAGCTTCTGATAGTCGAGAGAGAGAGAACAGTATTTTTATTTATTATTCGTCAGAGTCCGATAGCTTCGAATTTTGCCATTGGCAGAATTTATTAGATACGAAGAGATCATCACTTTCGCAACATTCGTTGACGGACGATCGAAGCCTTTTATTTTTCATTTCTCCAAACTCGTACTCTACATATATGTATGAGAAAATAATATTTAATCGATTTCATCCGATCAAACAGATCGTGCAAAGAATAAAAAATAAATCGATAAGGATTTACAGATGCAAGGGATCCAAGAGAAAAGCTTAACTCTCCTCTGCGTTATCTTTCATTTTTAAAAATATACGAATAATTGATGGAAAAAAAATAAAAAAATTATATTCGACGAAATACAATATATTGCGTCGATAGAGAATAGGGAATAAAATGGAAAAAAAAAGAAAAAAAAAATTTTGTCAGAAGTGGGATTCGAACCCACGCCCTCAGAGAGGACCAGAAGCCTCGAACCCGCGTTGAACGGGTAAGGTATCAACCTTGAGTCTGGCGCCTTAGACCGCTCGGCCATCCTGACATGTTGAAAACGTCTTCTATATTATGTTTCATTACCTGATTTTCTTAATCGATCGCACCGAATAATTTTATATTTTTTTTACTTTTATCTTTCTTAGAGAAGAAAACGCTTCGAATAAAGTTTACGATTAATTTTTCTTTGCGAATTAAGTAAATGTTCGATAAATTAATTCATCGAAAAAACAAATGAGAAAACGTTAATGGTATCGCGGGACGAATTGTTATTAAAAATTAGATCGGTACCGTTTGACTGTGCGAATAAGCATTCCCATTGACGATACATTTCTTCAAATAAGGCTCCTCCGTGGTGATCTCGCTGGCGGAACCGTCATCTCTAACTGCGATGTCGACTTCTCCGAGAAGAACCTGGCCGGAATTACCTCTGCCGGACACTGGAACGAGAAACAACGATAAAATCTTTCTTGCCGCGATAATTCGCGATCGATAGGTTAAAGCGAATATAGAAGAAAGAGAGAAATATAACGATAAATAATAAATATATTGATTAAAAATAATTTCTTTTCGTTCGACGCGTATTTTGCGCGGGCGCGCATACACACGCACATATTCTCACGTGGCTTAGAAAAGAAGACGACTTTGGATAGATGCGCGCGTTCCTTCGCTCGCGTGTCGCGCGTTCGGAGTGAGAGAACAGACGAAGGATCGTCGCATCGATCTGTGCTGCCAACTCTATCCCTGTCGTCTAGCTTCAGTGAAAGACGGAAGAGAGAGAGAGAAAGGGCATATGTACTACATATGTACTACTTATTCCGATGTTACTCTCGTAAATGTAACGCTTACACTGGCTTTCGATTCGACTCGAAATGTACGTAAATAAATTACATTGGCAAAAACGTATCTATTACTTATTTAATTTTTCTTAGCTTGAATACAACGTCATACAAAGAGAATTCAAAATGGCGCTTTTGATATGGCGGACGTCTTGATAGAAAGTTCACAATCGTTATAATATTACGTGCAAAGAACGTATCCTTTTATTCAACGGTACAACGGGTAAAGAGACGTTATGGCATTTGTACGAATATACGTATATGCGCGTTCTCACAATAACCATATCGGTATAACTGGTGGACCGTATATCGAAACGATGCCATTCGTAAAAATTGTTGCATATTATTCTCTATTAATTAATAAGATTCCTCGAATATTCGATATAACCTATATCTATTAAGTACTTGATAAAAAGTAACAATGATATTCTGTATCCAGAGGCGAAAAATTGTCATTTAAATTTCAATGTATCGAACGAAGAAGATAGTTTCTCTTAGTTTATTTGCACGCTTAATTAACGAATTCACATTTGTTTTTTACCTTAGTAAAATATTATTAAAATTTTTATCTCTTCGTAACGCTACTTTTTAATTACTCATTTATCCAAAGATCTCTCCTTTAAACTGCCTCATTAATATTTGTATTAGACATAAATTGCCCACTCAACGTGTCAAACAATATCCATAAACTTTTGATAAATTTCCTCGACTTTTAACGTCTCCTCTTCGTTTTTCCTTTCTTTTTTTTTATGTTTTTATTTTTTTTTATAAACTTTCGGTCTGCAAATTTATCTTTGAAAGAAAATTCATTAACTCTTCCTATAAATTCTTCACAACTTCCAAACGCGACTTTTAATAACTTTCAAATTCAACGAGGAAGAATCGCGAGCAAAGAGACGACGAGATTTTCCCATTACATCTCTCTACTTTTAAGTAAAATGGCTCGTTCGATGAATGGTCAGAGAGAGAAAGAGAGAGAGAGAGAGACGGACGAATTGACGATGTACTTACGAGTATCGGAAATATTGGTGAATTGTTCAATGAATGCATAGGATGGAAACAATTTTGAATAATACAGAGAAATCGACGTCAAGATCCACAATGAAAGGAAACGATGCTGGTCGACAATGAAAGGTAGCATTAGGTAGAAACAGAAAGAGGATAGATAAAGAGAGGAAGAGAGAGGCGTTCGCAACAATGGCCGTTGCTAGTAAATATCGATCAGCTAGGAGATCTGTCAAGCTCATGGCCAAGCATATCGTCGTCTGCGAACGGTGTTGGTTTAGTACGTGCGACCCGTTTAATCAGGACACCTAACTTTTGATATTTATCGTTGACGAGCAACACCGGTAAACGTCCATCATACGTGACTTCATTGCTTTTCCTCATTTATTATTCTTTACGCATATAAACGATATTGATGATAACCGAATATTGGCAACCGCTATCGATCGATTGATGCCAAGCTTTTTGAGATCAATCAAGTGTCTGTTTGAGTTTTTCACGAATACTTTTATATCTTTCTTTCTCTCTCAAGTCACGAATGAGCCGATTTATTTCTTCCTTATTTTATCTTCTCCTTTCGTCTTCTTTTATATCGTCGTCATTTCTATCTAGATATGTTGTGTAGATAAATGTGTATTTGCAAATCGAGTGAAACACAGATCTTTTGGACAAATAATGAATAAAATTGATGAATATTATTCAAAATATATATGGTAGAAAACGGTAGCTCTCTACGTTATTTCAGAGTCATTTCGGCGCATATATACAACTAACGCGTAAGTGCATATCTGTATAGAAAACGACGGGTAGTACCTGGGGCATCCAGAAGCCTAATTAAAAATGCTTCCGTCACGAACCGCCGAAGAGAGACAAAAGGAACTTGGAAATTGCATGTAACATGAAGAATTCCTTGCGAAGAACTTCAAGTACTGGGACAAGTCGAAAGGATGACAATTAACAAATTTAAACGTTTATTTTCTCTCTCTCTTTCTCTCTCTCTCTCTCTCTCTCTCTCTTTCTCTCTCTCTCTCTCTCTCTCTCTCTCTCTTTCTCTCTCTCTCTCTCTCTTTCATGTCTTTTTGAAATTTCTTTTATAACATCCCCGCGAGTATGGCTTTCCCATTTCTCAAGTTCATTACTTTTCGAACGTATTTCAAAACGTATGTCAGAAAGGAATCGAATCTATGGGAGCGTGACGTTCTAGATTCCTATTGTTCCCCCAGGAACGGTGAATACAGGAGAAGGACTATCCATTTAACGGGCGAGATTTAATTAACAATGATGAGCGAGTATCTCACGCTAGCTATTGGATAATTCAAATTATCGTGGAATCTCCTGTTGTGTATAAAATTTCAAAGGAAAAACGATTTTAATATCGGGATAAAGTTATCATTATAAATAAATAAAAAATAAACGTAACAAAAGTAATATTTAGTTCTTCGTTAGTCGTATATACGACGGACGTTCTATCGTTTCTAATTCTAATTTAGTAATTAGAATTTCGTTCGCCTCAACATGTTAAACGTGTATATATCTACCATCGTACGTAATACTTATTTATGTATATGCATTTACGCGATCATTCTCGTCGACGTTTGTAAACATTCTCTCGGCGTTTCCGACGAACATACAATTTACCTAATAATTTTTTCAAAGTCAGACTTTGTTCAGACTTTTTTCGACTCTTGAATAATTTACGTGATACCTTGTCGTTCCTATGACGTGTTTATAACGAGGAGAACGAAAGATCGTAAAAGGAACGTTCGCAGCCCCATTGAAACCACTTTCCCAATTGGTTGATATCCCGCATGGTGCAGGCCTTGATAGCCAATCACGCGGCCAAACCGCGGACTTCATTTGTTTTGCGGTACAGCGTGCTATCCAATTTTCCACGCGTAACAACTACCCGTATATACGTATATACGAATGTATAAAGTACGTAAACATATATTTCTCGTTTCGCTCGAACGAAGACCCCATTATTCCTCGTGGTTCTTCGGTGCGCGAGATGTAAAACGTATGTCAAACTACCTTTTCACCGTCCAAACCAATTCATTTTCTAATTTCTACATTGCGAAGAATACACGAGTTTAGTTGGTTAAACTTGCGTTCGCGATGGAAAATTTACCCGCGTTGAAAAGTTGTAATTATCTCGAATATTTTAATGAATTGCACCAAGATGTTTTATTTTATCGACAAATATATAAACGATATATATATATATATATATATATATATATATATGATTTCTTCGACGATACCAATTTAATTGCTTTTTCTTATTTTGATTTTTGCTTTCGAAAGATCAAAGATAAGAGAGAATATTAAAAGCTTTCGAATTTTCATTTTCCATCCGGGGATGTATACTCTTCCTTTCGTATTTGCGGAAAAGAGAGGCAAGCAGGTGAAACGGCGAGGAAATAACTAATCCGCAAATCCTCTTGGCTAAGCACCCGTCTACGTGAAAGAGGTTCTCTTAGATTTCTATCGTCTCGATCGTCACCGTGGCTTATGGTATTCAAGAAAATTCCCAGAACGTAATAGCTTTGAGTATTATCTCTTTTTCATTGACAGGCCATATTACGTATCGTGGAAAAGTAATCAGACAGAACGAAAGACTGGATTCGTTGCTTATTGGATATTAACGATTAAATCTAGAAAAGATTTTAAAGAGATAAGGGGAGATATTATTTGTCGCCGACAAATATTCATAGCGAATTAAAAACGATTATTCGCGAAAGGAGAAAAGTTGGCGGAAAGTTTGAGCAATTTGCTTAATCGATTTCCCTTTCGCGAAAGAAACGTTGTACGTTGCTTGTACGATTCAATTTTATTTCGTTAAAATCGATTCCTACGCGAATGGCGTCGTCGTCGGAGACGGTGAGAAAAAAGCGGGAGAATTATCCGACAGATAAACGCGTAATTATTTCGGTGTCATTCAAGTACCACGAGGCTTTGTGGTTGTACGATGTTTGCTCTTGCTTACGAGTGGATAGTACACACGAGAAAATCGAGATCGGTAGCATCAGGATCGATTTCGATACTTTTCGTTAGTTTAAAAGTCAATCGTAAAAATTCGCATACGTTTTTCGATAAAAAAATGGTCGATTCCGCAGGAAACAAGAGTCTTTCAAAACGGGTTAACTTTAATCGAATCTGTCCACGAGAATTAGCGGCCTGTGCCTGTAGCTGTGTAACAGCACGACCCAATTTCGTAATTAAAGCGAGCATTAAGTACATCCCCTCGACCTTCTGTCAGCACGTTCCTTTCGAATCCTTCCGAGAAGCGAAATCGTTCCAGATAAGTCCGTATAGGCGTATCGAAGCTGGCCTGATCGAGCGAAGGGGGGCAAACGATTCTGACTTCCGTTTGCTTCGAATTCATTCCGAGATTTAACGTTCTGCGCATAAACGATACCAAAGTAAGGAAAAACGAAAAAATAGAAAAAGCGAAATTGAATTACATCGCGGAAGAGAGAGGGTAAGAATTATAGGCGAATGTTAGAAAAAGAGGTTGGTTGCGTTTCCGGAAAATATGAGGCCGAGGAATTTTCATTGTGAGCTGCGAATTTTTTTTTTCTTCCCCTCCCTCTCTCGTTCGCGCTTGAATATTTCCTTCCGCCGCTTAATATCGCATCGCGGCACCCGGTGTCCATAAAAGACTATTTTTTTTACGGTACAAAAGTCGCACGGTCTATTTAACGACGTTAACGAGAATGCATTCCAGGATATCGTAGAGGGATACTTAGAACTTTATTCGCGCCCGTACAAAGGAGAAATTACGTAAAAAAATTTTCTTCGTGTCGATTGACCTATCGACACGAATAAACCAGGTAAATACGTAATATGTTAACTCTATACGTTAACAAGAATTTATGTGCGTGATAATAAAAGACTCGTATAAGAGCACGCCGTAAAGTTTTGATTTGTGTTCAATGTAACATTGTGTATACAGGTGTCCCATTTAACTCGTCTACCATAAACATTGTTTTTGATGATACAGGAGTATTCGTATGTCTCGCAATAGAGAATAGAGAGTTGCATCGATATGAAACGTGTCTAAGAAAGTGTCTGTATATGTGCGTAGGAACGAACGCGTTATATGCACCGAGCTCGTTCAACAACGTTGTAAACTTACTTGCGTGAGAACGTTGGAAAAGTAGATAAAGGACGAGGACGATAACTCGCGACGCAGTCATTTTACGATTTTTCTTCTTTCCTTCCTTCCTTCTTATTCTTAGAATATATCTCTTTCGAACGAAAACAATGACTTGTTGGCACTAAAATCGTGGTAGGAGAATGAGCACGAGTCGCGAAGCACGTTGATCGATATCTCACATTGAATATTTGTCTTACAAGGAATCGCTAGTCCTTCCTTCTTCGCGGCGTAAACAGGAAGGAGGAAAAGGATATGAAAATCGAACGATAACTCTCGACGAATGCGTTCTACATGCGAGCTCTCTCTCTCTCTCTCTCTCTCTCTCTCTCTCTCTTTCTCTCTCTCTCTCTCTGTATCACTCGTTTCTCTTCGATCGTGATCGTTAGTCACTTTAGAATTCTAATCCACCGAGAGCAACGCCGGAGATAGTAGATTGAAATTCTCACGATCGGGCCGATCGTCGCATCCTTGCGTTGTCTCTCATCGAGGAGAAGAACGAGCAAGCACAACTTAGCCACCCCTGACGTAATTCCGACTGTCGACTGTCAAGTGGACCGAAGAACCGAAACAGCACAGGGAAGTGAAACGAGAGTTACGCATGCGCTACGATAAACCAATCGAAAGGGCGCGGTTTAAACCACCCCGTTTGAAAAAACGAGCTCGATTCTTCGAAAATTGATTAAAAGGTTGTTTGCACCTCGACTATTTCATTACGATCGATTAATATCTTCTCTAGCGTCATATCTTTATTTATAGTTGGGATGAATTTATTTTGCATTTGAATTTGTCAAATGCATAGGCCATTCGCGTTCTTTTCCCCAAAGCTGCACGTTACATACATATATATATATACGTTATAGCTGCATTTCCGCTACCATCGCTACCATCTTTTGCGATAAGTTGATATATTATATATATATATATAATATCTCGGATTAATTATGTGAGGTGATAAACGAAAATATGTTTCTCTGTGAACAAAGTAATAAATCTTTATTTGCTAATTAATACTTATTTGCTAATTAGTCTTACCTGTGAACAAAGAAACGACAATTTACGTTTATTATTCACACTATTTAAATTTTATTTAATATATATATTATCTAGTATAAATTTTCTTATAAACTCTCGTGTTACTTTTCTCTTCTACGTTCTATTTCCTACTGCCCGTTTCTCTTCCAAATCTTAACTGCTCGATTTGTAGGTCACAAAAGAATTTGTAAATAACAAAGGACAATGGCAGGGCGGGCCATGAGAAACGCGGCAAATCTGTCTGAAGAAAGTATACTTTCTTTACATATATATAGCGTCCTTCGAAGTTATTCGACCACCTCTCTTTCAAGATAAAGTCAAAATAAAAATTTAATGGACCAGTTATATTTCGCGAATCAGAAAAATGAGTAAAAGTATAAATATGGAGAAATAAAAGATTTTTCGAGTGGAAGAAAAAAAGAGAAGGGGTAGAGGGTAATAACACAACCCCCCACCCCGCCATGCTCGTTGCCGAAACCCGGGATCGAACCGGGGACATTTAGATCTTCAGTCTAACGCTCTCCCAACTGAGCTATTTCGGCCATGAAAACGTTTTTATAAAATTCTAATTAATAGCGAAATATTTATCAATGTCATTTCAAATGTTAATTATCATTTTAATTTAATATAATTAACGACAAGGAGAAAGAATTTTTTTGATCTTAAAAGCATTAGGAAATGTTTTGCGATCGTTGAATCAATTTTGTCGACCAATGGTAATAACTCGAAATATTTCTAAATATTTTAAAATCGGATTATCGACGGGGATGACGTTTTAAAAATGAACAGGAAAATTGAAATAATTTTCAACGACGACTTTTCGTTTAACATTGGAAATAATTGAAACGTTCGTTGAAATATTTAAAATCTGTCGAAAATTTTCGGATATCGTAGGGCACTACCTTGTCAATAACACGACATCTTTTTTACCTACCATCCTAGAGAATGCTAAAAAATCTTGTTTGCACGCTTACAAATTGCGCTCTTTATGAATCAAGACGCGGTATAATTATTTAATATATAATGAAAATGAAAGGAAACGTTTGCGTCGAATTTATTTGTATCTCCTTTAAATATAGAATCATAGTTTTATGTGGACACATTGACTCTCAAATTAAAAAGATAATTCTGTTTTTTATATATATTTAAATAAATATAGGTCTTAGGTACTAGATCGCCGGCGCATGCTTAATAATCCGGACCGTAAAAGTGCATCGTCGATCGATACTCAGGATAAAAATTAGTTATGCAACGGAACGAGCAAGTGTAACGTGACCGCGATCTAGGTACGCTCGGAGCTTCCATTAGCATTCGGTACTTCATGAAAGAAAAGAAAATATTAAAAATATTTAATTAATTCGTGACCCTACTGTCGATCGTAAGTATGACAATTAATAAACAGCCCGTTCTCTCGATAAATAAATATTATACAAACGACAATAAATTTTAGATGTACGAGTGTTCGCAGGAAAGTGATAACAACGAATCTTTTGGTTAATATCAGAAATAATAATTCTTCATCTTCCACTATCGTCGTCTATATTTATCTCACAATGTTCTTGTTTTGTTTGAATAAACAATGCGATGTAACAATAATTACGATAATATTTTTTGTTTATTATCGCGATTGAGAGAAATTGTACGTAATTGAATTTTATCCTTAGTAGTTGTAGAAAGTTTTACTTTCTGTGAAAACTATTGAAATTACCAAGAGGTTTTATTATTTATTTATTTTATTTTGAAATTTTATATAGCAACCGTCATAATTTAGCAACCGTCATAATCTTTACTTAAACGATAATTATATTGTTTCGTGAAAGATACATTATACAAATGAAACTTTCTATTACGGATATAATAATATTATAAAATGAATGTTTTTTTCATAAATCTTAAGCGCAATTGAAATAACTTTTCTTATAAAATGTCGTATAGAGATAACCTTCTTCATTTTCAAAAGATTAAGTATCGCCTCCAATGATAAAGCAATTTCTAAATATATTTCTAGAAAGGGAAGCCTTAAGTTATTATGAACAGTAATAATAATCGTTTAGTTCTTTGGCGTTAGGCTTCGTGTAAACACGGTTTAGGAAATAAAGAAGACTTTGCGAGAGAAAAACTAGCGGATAAATAAAATTAAAAAAGATGAAAATCGAAGAGACAAGCGAGGAAAGAGAGTTGTGTGAACTGTTGATGAACAAGTTATACTGTGACATAGATTTTCGTAATAAGATCGCCAAGCAAAGTTACGACGAAATGCGAAAAGAGCTCGAAGATATGTTAGGGGAACGTCTGCATTTGATCCCGGATATATATTTGGAAAGTTTTTATTATTCGAATTTTCCTGGAAATTACGACAGACCGTCTTCCGAAAAACCCGACTGGCTAGATTTAAAAAAGTTTCAAAGGGGCCAACATTTCGCTCGCAATAATTTGGCTGGACTTTTCATAGGACAGTTATACGGTTTGCTCTGTCTACTTTGCCATGCTGAAGGTCTACAAACGATGATAATGACGCAGAAATCTCACACGCCTTATTTAGCGTTCAAAAGGTAAGTCCTAAAATGATAATAGACCTTAGAGAGTTCATCAAAGAATTATTAGAGAGTTGCTTGCGTTAATGGTGAAAAAGGAAAAGTATTAAATAAAATAATCGTCGTTAAAGATATTTGTCGACCAGTCAACGTATACGCAACTGGTACACGGAAGATCCTTGGTGCGAAGATACGAAAGCGTACAAAGACATTCAAACGGTCAAGAGAATGCATCTTGCTGCGAACAAAAAAATCAGTGAACTTGATTGCAAGGAAATGGAATCTATGAGTACTATAAAAAATCCTTACTGTCCGGCCTTTCGATTTATAACAGATGATTTTTCCAGGATATTGCCACCAGACTCGTTGTTGGCTCGTTTATATGTAGAACATTTGAAACATTTGCGTAGAAATTTAATGAGAATTAATCAGATTGAGATGAACTATACTCTTTTCGGGTTTATGGGCCTGGCCATACTTTTCCCTCATCGTTTTGGTATTTACCCGGTGATAGACGAGGATCTCGAAAATTTTTGTTACGTCTGGAGGTGTATCGGTTATCTCTTGGGAGTGGACGACAAGTAAATTGAACTTTTTATCGTTTACTTTCCTTCCCATTAAGCAAAATAATTTAGATATCGAATCTAATGATCATGCGATCAATCGAACTCGTTGATATGTTATTACACTAAATTATTCCCAGAAATATTCTAATATAGTCCAAAAGAAAAAAGAAGAGTTGTTCGTACAAGGAAATTAAAGAAAGAATCGAAGGCAATAAGTATTCTTATTTCTAACTGTTTGCAAGAGATTTCATAATGCAATTACGCACTATTGCTTTTGCTGTTTATTAATCATTTTGTTTATTAACATTGGCAGAATTGAAAGCTTTGTACTATTAAAGATTATTGTTGTAAAATAGGACGGAGAGATAGCTCGATCCAACGATATAAATGAAAATATGTATGATTGGCACGTGAGAGCAGATACGATGCCATTTCTATTTGCGTAAACAGTACCGAACGGAGCCAAAGTTATTTGACGCGATCACTTTCTAATAACAAGTTTATCTCGAATAACATAATAATTTTCCTAAATGAAATTTCCTATTTTTATTTTCAAAGACGACAATCACTCGTTAGATTAAGTGCATAATAATCGATTATCTTGATGTTCCTTCTTCTTCCTAGCTTTATAATTCTTCATTAGAGAGGTTTCTCAGAATTCGCAATACCTTACGAAAGTTATAAACAAGGTTAACTTCCTCGCTTATTCCTAATTAAAATTAAAATAAAGTAAATGAAGATTCAATAAGTTCAATAAGTTGGAGAAACGAATTGGTATTGGCACATATGAACGTACACGATTATCGCATGCATTTGCTTATGATATTACGTTTTTTGCAACCCAATCGATATGATAATTATAATATCAATCGTGATGTAATGTAATTGAGAGGGCGATCATAATAAGAGACATATTTTCTTTTCGTTTCTTCACGAAAAGAATAAATATTTGCCGGGGCAGTTTGAAAGACGTAAAGGGCCGTTGCCAAAGGTACATAGACGAATTGGTGAAACCTGCGTTTCAAAGACTCGAGCCACAATGGGAACATATGATAAGATGCATCATCGAAGGAAATTGTTATTTTATGACCAATTGTAACTTTGAGACAGTAATCTTGTGCATTGCCGATATAATTAACATCGAAATGCCGTCTTTGTACTTTTCGTTGAATTACTATCAACGGATCGTTTACTATTTAAATAAGTAAGTAAACCTCTGCTATAACGATTTAATGTTACTATAGTTATCGTCCCTCTCGAATAGGAAACGATCTGCATTTCTCCTTATCTTACAGATATTTCCTACAATACGGATTGCAATATTCGTTTATACGGCGTTTCGTTAATAAATTGTTTAATTCATTGCTCGACGGTGCTCTCAATTTCGACGACTCGAAAATTGCCGAATTGAAGAAAAAATCGATGAATTCGGTATTGCACGTTTCCGTTGGCAAATGATATAGCATTTGTGTACGCAGCGACGCTAATTTTTGCTAAATGAGACGCTAAAAAAAAAAAAAGAAAGTAAAAATAAAGTATTTAAATCTTATTATCTTATTATTATTAAGAATTGTACTATTATTAAGAAAATAAACGACTATTATTAAGAAAATATTCTTTCCTTCCATTTCTTCGCAATATAATATTAATGTAACATTTTATGTATCATGAAATGATTACAGCGGCAGTATCAAAGGACAGATTAAAAATTATTGAATAACCATTTGATAAATCGGAGCATAGTTCGATTATGTAACCTCTTTAATGTCGTCATTGTTATCGATGCTGGATACGTAGAGGATATATCATATGTAATAGGTTCATAAAGTAAAACAGCTCGAGGAGTGACGTGTAAAATAATTCTTGAATGAGGCGGCACTTGGAAAGGACGTTTGAAAGGCCTTTGTTAATCGGTACGCGAATTAATAGAAAGTTCAATCGCGCGCGCGTAATACGTAACGTACCATACGTAAGCGCTTTTTTCTTTCACCTTCTCTGATTGGTCTGTCCGTTCAACGTATGAAAATCTTTCTTTGGAGCGACAAAGGCAAATCGCAATATCCCATATAGTCAATCGAAATCATAACCTCTTTAAGGGATGCTCGATTCAATGAAAAAATCCTCGATTGCGAACAAATACAAAAATGGATTTGAATCTGCATTGAATCTTCAAGTGTACAAAAGTTATTTTCCACCAGAGTCCGACTATAGATACGTACAAATATCGATTTAATTCATAAATAATGCCTCCGAGTCGTTTGGATGCCGTTTATAGAAGTATCCTTCTGACAAAATTCTTTACAAAGGGATGGGGCAATCCTCAGAATTTGAAAAGGCAAGTTTAAAACTTATAAAGCAACAGTTTTTTAGAATTCATTCACGTGCATTATATAAAGTTGATAAATGAAACAACTCAATAGTTGATAATAAGTTATATAAGATTAAAGGCAAATCCTGTACGTAGAATAAATTTTACCATTTCTTTTTATTTCAGGATATTCGAGTTTAGGAAGGTCATAGCCAACCGAGAAACCTGTTACAATCTCATACCTCGTAATTATCCGATAAACATAACAAAGGTATGTTACGGTCTAATACGGATAGCCAATTATCTCGTATTGAAATTGCGTACAGCCTGCGTATACCACAAAATGATATTTCTCTTATGTCTACTTAAAAGGACGAACAATGGTCGGACTGTCATATAATAGAAGGTTCCTTTACTTCCCCTTTTGATCTGTATCTATCAGGAATGATGCCAGAGAAAACAAAAACTGCATATTTCCAAGTTATTTTACCGCGTGGATGGGACTCTTATAAAGTAAAACCCATTTGTTTGCATCTTGCCGGTACAGGAGATCATGTATGTTACATTATCTTTCGATGAAGAACATTGCTTCGCCTTGCCTAGGGCGAAAAAACATTTTTATCATATTTCTTTTGCCCTCTTTTTTCTCTTTTTTTTTTTTTTTATATCTTACTTCTAAATTAGTTTTTTTGGCGGCGGAGGAACTTGATTGCCAAACCGTTGCTTAAAGAATCTGGAATCGCTTCTATACTTCTGGAAAATCCGTTTTATGGATTAAGAAAGCCAAAAAATCAAATGTAAGAAATCAGTTCTTCAAGGTTTGTACTAGATTAAATTGTTCATTAATTCTGCAAGTTGTTATGGCGTCCTTATTGAAACTTTTTCTTAACCTTGCATAGACGCTCGAGTCTACATAATGTGAGCGACATATTTATTATGGGTGGATGCTTAATAATGGAGTCGATTGTTTTATTGAATTGGTGCGAGCAACAAGGATTCGGACCGTTGGGTCTGACAGGTCTATCGATGGGCGGACACGTTAGTATCTTTTATTGGTTATATATACATACATATATATATATATATATATATATATATATATATATATATATATAGTAAAGTGAGGACAAGTATTTTCTTTTTCCTTATGAATAACACCCTTTGTTTTATAGATGGCATCGTTGGCCGCTACAAACTGGCCAAAACCCATAGCCCTGGTACCGTGTCTTTCTTGGTCGACAGCCTCGCCTGTCTTCACAGAAGGCGTTATGAGTGCTTCAATAAACTGGAATCTCTTAGAAAGCCAATATTTCTCTAATGAAATTTATCAGAATGATCTTGCAAAAATGGTGAAAGTCATCGAAGAAGAGGTAAATCCATTCGATAAATTACTTTCCTCGGTATATATTTCTTTTGGTCTAATCGATGGCCTTTGGTTAATTGGTTTCTGCATGTATAGGAAGCATTCTTGGCTGGGCAACATTTCGCGAAACATTATCCTGCTAGCATGAACAGAATAAATAGATTGAAGAATGAATTTCGAAAGAGTAATGACGAAGAAGACGGTCTTATTACTTCTGGGGACGATGCTGGACCGAATGACAATAAAATTAACGAGAAAATTGAGAACGAAATTGATAATAATTGCCTAGATAGTGCGTATAAGAGGAGCAAAGGAAACGATATGATGCGTCAAGTAGCAGAGGAAAAATCCGCGGCGAAATTGTTTTCTCTGAACCTTATATCGAAGAAATTTAAATCAAACGATTTAGAGGCACCCAAGGGTAAGAGAACGTACCAATTTGTATCTGTTGATTTCAACATTATAAACGTCTTTCTCTAACGACATTAACCAAACAAATGACCATTATTGTCCCCCATTAGTTTAAGTACAATTATCGAGTTATGATATTGTTTTTTATTTTATATTTCGTTACGTTGCTTACGTAAGTACGTGTGTACGAAGAACATTTCGTCGTAAGTTGCAATTTTCAAATAATTCGATTTAACACATCACTCAATTGAATTTAACTAATCGAAGATTACGTTATTGTACAAATAAACGTGAGCATGGTAATATTGAGATTCTTTTCTTTTCTTTTTTTCTTTCTTTTCTTTTCTTTCCTTTTTTCTTTTCTTTTCTTTTTTTTCTTTTTTGATAACAGGTATTTGTTTATTTCCCGTATCGAAGCACCCACTATTTTCAGACGGGAAGTGGCGCGAGAGGGAAGCCTTGCAATTTATGCGTGGTATAATGGACGAATGTACGCATTTAAAAAATTTCGAAGTTCCTGTCGATACGGAACTCATAATAGCTGTCTGTGCGCGTAACGATGCTTATGTTCCACGAGATAGTTGTATGAGTTTAGAAAAAATTTGGCCTGGAGCTGAGATACGCTACATCGACGCCGGTCATGTGAGCGCATATCTTCTTCATCAAAAAGTCTTTAGGTATAGATTTATTTTGTTAAATTAATCCCAACTTAATCCCATATAGATATAATATAACGGATTGCTTATTTTAGTTTCTTTTTATCTTTTTTCTCTTCTTCTTTTTGTTTTTTCTTTTAGATCAACAATTGCCGAAGCATTTCAGCGGTCATTGAAAAAATATCCTCTAGACGTTAGTTGACAATACGTGATATTTTTATGACAGAGGAAATAGTTGAAAATTTATGTTTAAAATAAAGAAAACGAATATCTAATCGTCGTTAAAAAAAGTCATCGTTAATATGTCGCCGTTTACAAAAATATGAAAAAAGAATATATATATATACATATATATATTGCACGAAAAGCGTAACATTTTGAATGTAAACTGAACTGTCGATCGGCCAAATCGCTAGTTTTATATTATTATTATACGGAGTAGTTAGGATCACTTCCGACGAGGCGATTGGAATTATATTTTTTGCCAAGTTTTTTCAACGGGCAAGAATTTTATGTCTCTGCCGTATTTATATAAGAATATACATGTTTACACTGGGATAAGAGTTGTGTTTTCTTTGTACGTAAAACCGGTGCGTAAACTGGTACACGCATTACAAAACAATAATTTACAATAACTTGTTATTGTGAAATAAAAAAGATGAAGGAAAAAAGAAAAGGAATAAAAATGTTAAAAGTATTATATATGTAGGGGCTAGGGTTGAAATTGACAATGCGCCAATAATTTTATCCCAATATCATTTAATTATCAAGTTTTCATCGGTCTTATATTTTATCGTCGCACAGATGAAAGGACTTGCTTTTTCTTTCTTTTCTCCCAGGTAAGGAAATTTTGTTAAAACGCATATAAGGAGGTACATATTCTTCTTAGTCCGAATGAATAGAATTCGCGTTTGAAGTTTCCCGCGAAACAACCGAAGGAGGAAGGACCGGTAGCGCCACCGTGCGACGCTTTAAGAACGAACAGGAAGTCCGTCGAGCGGCTCGCTTAGAGGCCAGGAGGCATCGTTGGCCACATGTGTTTTACGAACTGCTTTCTTGTGAAAAAGGATTGTCGAAAATGCGCCGTGTTTACGTAATACACGAGAGCGCAACGCTACGACAATGTTGCTAGACATTACGAATCAAAGAAGAAAGAACCTACGGCGACGATACGACGAATGAGAAGAAACATTACACGGTATACAAGTATAACCATAAAAGAAGATAAATTCGTCTCGAAGATAAAACGAGTCTCCCCAGTATTCTACCACTTTTGCTCTGCTCGTTATCGTCGTCTCTCGGCACATACGGTACGTACTCGTTTAATTCGGGAAGGTGTATTTTCGTTCCTTCAGAGGAAAGTACACGAAGTCAGAAAGATCGTTTATCGTCATCGAGTAAGCAGAACGAGCCGAGCAAGGTACGAAAGACCTTACGAATACGAAATCTCTCTCTCTCCCTCTCCCTCTCTTTTTCTTTGCTTTTCTTTTATCATCCCTCATTTGGAAAAGGACGAGTCAGCAGTGTGCATTTCGTAGAGAAAAAGAAACAAGCATCTCCTTGAATAGAAAAAAAGAATATTATTTGAGACATATAGGAGAATTTTAAAAGGCGCACGTGGTGAAAGGTTAGAGTAGGAAGAAGAAGAAGGAATAAGAGAGAGTGAGAAAGAGAGAGGGAGGGAGGGAGGGATTCTCGAATCGTCTCTCGCGTGGCACCGTACCGGCGCTGGCAGTACCCATTTCGTCCGTAGTACTTTCGCCACGATCACGGCAAAAAGTCTAGTAAGAAAGTTCGAGGACGCGCGTGCGCGAGTTCATACCGGGAAGAAAAGTACGACGCGACATTACGAGCATAACAGCGGATATACACCAAGGAAGAGAACGACGGCTGCAACCGCGTGGGGGTGTTGGGTGTGTATTGTCCCTGCGTGCAACATTTAACAATCGACGAATAGAGCTAAACTGAGAGAGTAGGGGGAAAGGCAAGCTAGAGCGCGCGGGTGTTCTCATCGTTCTTAACGATATTTCACACACCGGCCGAATACCACCATGCGCTCAAAGCACGGCACGATGGTAACACTACTTTATTAATGGCCTGAGTGATCGGGAATACATTCGTGGTTAGGATTCTCGGTCTCTCCTTTCCTCTTTCCTACCGAATAAGAAAATAAATCGACGGGTGAGTCATTCATGAAACCGGCGAATACTTGTGTTATCTTACATTTCTTCCCCGTTGGAAAGTAACTAGTGTTGTTTCGATAAATTTTAAACGGAAGTGAGAAACTTCGGAAGAATCGAAAGAAGGAAAAAACCCCGCGTCGCAAGACTGAGATAGATATAGGTAGAGAGAGAGAGAGAGAGAAAGAGAGAGAGAGAGAGAGAGAGAGAGACGACTACGAAGTATATAGAGGAGGTGGGACCACCCCATTGCTGCTGCTGCTGCTGCTGCTGCTGCTGCTGCTGCTGCCTCGTGTTTTTGTGTCTCCGCGCGTGCGATTCAAGATGGCGGCGAAGGTGGTCAGCAGCGGCGCTCAGGGAAGTACCGAGCGAGAGGAAGGCCCTGGGGTATCATATGCAAGCGTAGTCAATCCCAAAGCTGCCTCGAACGAAACTACTACCAGCAGGATAGTATCCTCGAGCAAAGGAAACAATAAGGAGAATATAGGCGGCCAATTTGCCGCACGTCAGGCCAATACGACCGTTAAAGAACGCATTGTCTCGCAAAATCTTCCTGCCAAGGGTAAATCGTATCAGAGAACTGGGAGACGATTTGCGACAGCCACACAACCGCAGCAACAACAACAACTTAGAGTTGATAAATGTCAGAACGAGTTTCAGATTGGCATTGATATATCTGAAAAGTCTTCAATGAAAAAGGAGACCGTACACGGTCAACCGGATGTTGTATCTAATACGGTGATATCGGAACAAGAAAAATTAAATAATGGGGATATTGGAAGCGACGGAGAGTTTCAAACTGTCGCTCCTAAGAGCGCTCGGAGGAAAGAAAAATTGAGAGAACAACAGAGAGAACACAGGGAACGTCATAGACATCGTGATCACAGAAATAGATTGCGTGGTATTAGCGACGGTAGTAAAGAGAGAACGATCAAGGATAGAGATCGAACCGATAGAAATGGGATCGAACATATTCTCAATAATAAGGAAGGTATTAGAGAAAAAGAGACTCGAGAAGATAACCAAGTCCAAGCGTCTGCTCCAGTGAAGTACGTGGAGGCTCCCTTACCTGCCGTCAATCCATGGAATAAAACGAAACCTCTTCAATCTTTCGTTCAACAACCCGTCGCTGCTTCTAGCACGAACACTTCGGTCTCTACGGACAAACCAAGCGTAAAGGAGAAGAGAGTATTGCAACCGCAGCAACAACGCTTACAACAAGGTATAATAGGTAAGTCCAGGGACGCATTTTCTAAAACTCCCCAAGATATAGATCAAATATCGATATCATCACTTATTCTTTCTACCATTAAAGGATGAATTTTTATTGCTTTGTCGTTTTCGCCAAAATATTATTAACATGTCTTAATCAAATATGCGATAATCAAATTATTACTTTAACATATGTTAAAACTATAAATCGATCGTGTATTGAGTAGAAATGATTGAAGATAGTATTTAAAATTATTTTTTATTACGAGCAATAATATTATCGATTTTAAGTATAATCGTATAGATTTAATACGTCAACGGCCGTATAAACGATATTGCATTCGAGGTGCGTGATGTACGATCGACTGAAACGTATCTATTGCAGGACGAATTAATTATTTAATTCGTGGATGATTAAAAATTTTTCGAACATTCATTAACTACCTCCTTATATATCGCTAATTCCACAGCAGAGACGCATGCTGCTGCGTACATTGCGCGCGCGTATAATTTGTCAGTCTATTATACGCGTGTTACGAAACTTACAATGAAAATAGAAACGCATCTTCGAACTGTCGCGGAAGGCTAAAGGGAAGGCGATAAATATTTGATTCGGATAAATCGGGGAAATTCGGAATTGTCGATTATGAATGATAATCGATATTAAAGATTACAGTTCTTATGGCGTTTAACTCGGTCCCCTTTTTGCGAGAAAACAAGAAAAATCCTGTTGCCATGTGATTCTTTTGGACAGGGAGACCGTTCGATCGAATGTAATCGCCAAAATTCGCGCCCGTTTAATTTTGTTACAAGAGAGCTATCTGATAAGCCGATAATGATAATAGTACACTTAAAAAAGATCCAATCGTAGCTCGAGTGTATTCGAGTTAACGTACAACTATGCCTAGCATACGTGGCAAGAAAGAGGGCAGGTGATGATATAGAGAATTGACACGTCGTCTTTTTCCCTATAATTCAAAGTTATGTAAATTACGTAAATTTTTTTCTTTCTTTCTCCTTCTTTTCTGATGTTTATTCCACTACGTAATATTCCTCTGTACGTAAACGAAGAATGGCCGGGATCGTCGTGTAGCGGGATGTTTGTTCGATACAGTCAGGTCGCGTCCCCCTTTCTTCCTCGACAATAATAAGGGTTGATTCGAAACTACGTATTGGCCGGCCAATGGTTTTATTTAGCGATGACTTTGTAAATCTTGTTCGACCGATCGATCCGCCGATATACGTAGTAAATATACGTTAGCGAAGCTAATATTCGATTCGTTAAAATACGGCGATATGTATACGTCGTATTTTAATAAATGCCAAGGATTACTATTGCATAGAAGAAAAAAATTTCAAAATTCATTCGGATCGTATCTTCCATCGTTTCCGATTGAAAGAGATAAGAGGAGGCGATCTTAGGATCGTGAAGAAAGATAGGAGAACGTGCAAGTTGGAGGGCAACGACATTGACACTTCTACTGTGTAGCACAGAGAGTCGCGCGGTGCGCACGTAATGCAGTTACGGAGACGTGCCTAACAACATTACGTAGTTACGGCACACCACGTTCTAGGCACTCGGTCTCTTTCTAGCCGACATCCAGACGTTTAAAACGACGCTACTCGTTTTCCATCTTCAGCTTCCCGAAACTTCTATTTATTCTTACTCTTCTCCCCGATCGATATCTACTCGGAATGACGAAATATGTCCAACGATTTCACGAATCGTATACCCAAGGATCGATTTTAGCTAAAATTGATAGGTTAGAAATACGATAGGTTAGAAATGAATAGGTTTCCTTGGTCTTTGATTCGATTCGATTCGATTCGTCAGCATCTGGTGGTTCAGTAAATGCGCTCCTTCGATCCATATTAAAATGTGTCGCAGAAAGTGAGAGTACAGGAAAGGAAACCAGTTTCGAGATAGAGAAGGCCGAAACGAATAGAATCGAAAGGTCAGTGAAATATTGTACATTTCGATGTTAATCTTATTGCGTGAGAATTCTCGTTTAAGATTTCATACGAAGATTTGGAGGCTAGAAGAAATAGAAATCGCTTTATACGTTCCTAATATCTGATTCTATGAGGTTAGGATTCCTCCTTCCGTATTTTCTTTTCTTTTTTTTTTTTTCCTTCTCCCATTCACTTTCTTTTTCTTCGACCTGTGAAAAAGGAAAAAGTATGAACGATTGCATTTTTTTCTTTTTGTTTTTTTCTTTTTTTCCGACGATTACGGCCGAAATGTAAAATTGTTTTTTTACGGAGTGTAAAAGCGATTTGATAGTTAAAAAAAAAAAAATAAATAAATAAATAAAAGAAAAGAAAATAAAATAAAAAGAAAAACCTTGACTTGGATGTCGTGCTCTTCGTGTACTGCGTTAAAAAAGAAAAAAATATTAAAAAGAATCGTAAAAGAGCCTTTCCAGAAGGACGCGTTTGAAAGTACATTTAAACGTATAAACGGATTTGCGTTCGACCAATCACAATTTGTTCGATCGACGAATGCTCGACCATTTAAAGGCCGCGTTCTATTACGAGGAATTACTCGGGTAACGTCCTCGGGTTATAAAGATATATACTCGAATCGGTATCAACGATCTCCTTAGACCGTGTGCTCGTATAAAAATATTTTATTATTATTTTCGTTGTTATTATTCGCGCTGCTTTTCATATTTTAACTTTTAATACCGTTCTACGTTACGCAAGGCACTTTTCGCGCCTACTTTTCTATATCGTACGATACGATATGTAATTTGATCATAGGAAAGAGAAGGAAAAGAACAAACGAGAAGGAAAAATTTCCTCTTCGTGTGAAAGGTTTTTAGGTAACGATAAAGTTATCTCTCAAGTCGTTATTTATACGTATGCCGCATATATTTCTCTTTACTCGCGACACAAATATTATAATAGATAGTTACTTTTTGGATTTTCTTCAGAAAGAAAATTCTTTAGAATTACAGCGGAATCGCTTTTTAATCGCTGACGATAAAGCTCCTTGTTCGTTTTATAACTCTCCTCGAGTTATGTCACTTTTTCAGATGGATCAAGTTCCCTTGTATTTGACAGGTGCCTAAAAATTTAACGAAGCGATTTCGAGCGATTTCCTATTGCTCTCGAAAAATCTTATTTGTGATTGAGTCTTTACCTTTTCCTCTTTCTATTTCTTCGTTTCTACTGTTCGATTTTAGCATATCTACTAGTTAGTGAATTAATTCTCGCGAAAAGTATTTTCTCTATATCTCCTTTTGTACACATTCAGATTTGGTTTTATTTTTTAGTATCAAGTTAAATAAATCGCGCGACGCGATTTTGAAAGGTATCAAAAGCGTCCTTCCTTTTCGATCATACAATTCGGCCTTGATCGTATTTCGTAACAGTTTTAACAGATCGTCCACCCACGTTTTCACGACGATGGAAAACTCTGACCCCCAAAGTGAATCGTTTCTTATCCTCGTCTATGATAGAATCGTTTTATCGTTTTAACGAAGGACACGGAGATGAACGACGTCCTTCTTCCTTGTTTTCCAATTTAGGGCCGTTGTTTATTGTTTTCAGCGTCGACGCGAGCATTGTTAGCGTGGCGATCTGCTCGGGTTTTAGGGCAACGTGCCATCGTCCTCGTCGTTGGGCTCTCTCTCTCTCTCCCTCCCTCCGTATGCATGTGTCCTCCAAACGAACTCAACCAGTTTGGCATGGATAAAAAGCCGAAATGCGTCACGTTGCCAAGAAATGGTCGGTTGAGAGAAAGAGAGAGAGAGAGAGAGAGAGAGAGAGAGAGAGAGAGAGAGAGAGAGAGAGAGAGAGAGACCAGAATAGAGGGAGATCGCTGAACCCCATCCACCCACCTCCCTGCGCCATCGCTGGGTTTTCAAAAATTCCCGCCCTCTTTCGCGAGAAGGAAATTCAAAACGTAATTACACCGATGAGATTCAGCAGAATTTTAGCAGAAACACTTTTGATAGAACGAAAACAGATATTCAGATCGAAAAGTCAAAATGATTATATTTAATTTGCCAACGATAAATTCTCTCTACATGTATTGTTAAAAAAGAAAAATCTAAAGATAGAGCAACGATGTTCATTGTCAAACTACTACTCGGTGCCGACAACTCGAACGCGGATTTCTCTCATTCTTTCGTGACGTGGGACGTTACAGATAAAAATATTCGAGAAACGTTCGCGTGTTGTCGATAGAGGGAAAGGGAGAGGGGGGAGGAAACAGAGAGAGAGATAATCGAGGTCACAATTTGGAACAAGTTATAATTGTATCGATAAGAATATAATAATTCAAGTGGAATCTTGTTAATATACCGAACACGTGTCATCAACGAGGGCGATAATGCGTTCGCAAGAAAGCATCCCTTTTAACGTTGTATACACTTATTTACCATGTACTCGGCAAATTTTTTATTATTTCAATATTCTAACCATTTATGTTCAAGTATTTAAAAATAATTAATTTTTTCTTTTCCCCTATTAATACACCTTGGCCATTTTTTAATATATTTATTTAATCGCTTAATCGTTCTTTTCTAGAAAATGGACTTCCTACCACTGCCGAGCCAACGATCGTTAAAGTTTTAAAAGACAGAAGAAAAGTCAACCAAAGGGTATGTTTCTATTGTTAAAATACGAAGATTATAGTTTCAGGAACGTTGTAATAATACCTTGTTTTCATCTTTATCCTTTTTTTTTTCTTTCTTTCTTTCTTTTAGGCCAGCGATTTTACGGATATCGGAGATTGGCCAACGTTGGGAGCTCAAGAGGTTAGGCATACTCTCATTTTTTTTTTTTTTTCTTTTTTTTTCCAATTTTGCTTATACATAGACATTTATTTATATTAATGAATATTTCATTTAGAAAGACACCCTGGTTAAGTTGCAAAAGCTAGAGCCCGTAGAAAAGATGATATTATTCTGCGAGCGTATACTTTTTGCTAGAAAAAATAAGAGACACTTTATACGATCAGAGTATTCGATTCTGCTTCCTCTGATAAACAAACGTGCTCGTACACTCCTATAACTAATGCTATAACTATTATCTGTTTTATGGAATATCTTAGCACGTTTCGCGTGCAATTTTTTCTAAGTATTTATATATATCAAAGCTCGTTCTGGTTTAGAAGAAAACACCCGTGACAACTTCGAAACAAAATGGTGTTACCGAGCAAAATAATGCGAAGGAAAGTAATGGACATGCAATTGAAAGTAAAGGAAAGGAAAACAAGGATAATCAATGTCAGGATGACAGCGATGAACACACGGACAGTAGCGAGAAAAGAAAGAAAGGTAAACATTAGGATTACATTTTCTTCGATCCGAATTTTCTTCTTTTTTTTTTCTTTTTT